GGGGGCAAAGGCGGAGGGCGCACATACTGCTACAGTATACAGTATGTTTCCTGGCCATGCTAAAAATACAACTTGTCAGATAACAAGGTAAGCAATGTATGGTTAAAATCTTTAACTTCGATCCGATTGCGGTATAGAGGGAGCCCATACAACGAACGCACGGCGGCTTTCGGGAGAGGCAAAGTAGCAACAAACACCTCAGGCAATTACTAATAGCGTTCTTGATTGATTGATTGATTGATTGATTGATTGATAACCTACCTTGCCTCCCGCAAACTACTGCATAGCCACAGAACCAGCTTGCCAAAGCGACAAGTCTCCAGCTGCATCCCCTTATACCTTACATCCTGCCAGCTCTATGCTTGTAGTTTTCGCTCCATCCGGCCAACTCTTTGCTTGCCGTCGTCTCTCCTCGTGCCACGTGGCACCTCCTCCTCCTAACACTAGATCGCCTGCGCACAATGGGTCCCCATTTCCTATACCAACCACGCCCATTACACATGGACAACTCAACTCTCTCAACGACACAATCGCGCACCCGACCTACGAGAGAGACAGACAAGAACTCGCCCACCTACCTACCTATCTACTGTGTTCCCCCTCTCCTTGCGACCGTCCCGTTCTGCTCAATCACGATCACGGGCATTTCAGCTTCTTCTTCTTCCCTACCAGCTGTTGTTGCAGCTGATACTGATATGGATTCTGCTGCTGTTGTTGTTGTTGTTGCTGCTGATCTGCTTTGGTTATGCCCTTAGACTCGCCCACAGATGATGCCGCTCCGCCTCTCCCCACCACACAGAACTGAATCATTCTCTGGACAAGGATGCAGAAAATGCAGAAACTACCGAACATAGCCCACACGGAGGGCTCTGGCCACCATCCCTCCTGCACCTGCATTTGCAGCGCATGCACTTTCAGCTGCGCCGATTGCAAATCGGGGGTCAACCGCAGCGTCTCTTCAAAGCTCTTGAGTGCTTCCTCTTTCATTCCTCGACTCAGCAGCGTGTTTGCGAGGCTAAAGTGCAGCATCCAGTGATCGGAATTCAACTTCAATCCCTCGCGGAACATTCGTTCCGCTTGATGCAGATCCCCGGCTAAGTAGTGGACGCCGCCAAGATTGAGGTAAATGTTGGGGTGCTTGCGGATTTGCAAGGCCTTGCTGAAGCTCTCCACCGCGCGATCTGCATTTCCCCTTGCTCGGTGCGCGTTGCCCAGCTCGTTCCACACCCTCGGATCGGAAGGGTTCACTTCCGCCGCCCGTTGCAAGACCTCAAGCGCGGCCTCCACCCCCCCATAGCGCGCGAATAGGTCACCGAGTTCGTGCTCAGGCTTCGTCCTACCCTCCACAGGACCCCCCTCGAGACTAATTTCCTCTTCGGAATACATCGGACACTCGGGCTCCGCGCCACTGGCGATCAGCGCGCCGCCATGGCGCGCCTTGGCGTTGCTGCTGTCATCGCTTCCGCTGCAGCCACTCCGGCGGCAAGCACAGTCACATCGACCAGGGGAACGCTGGTCGTCCGATCCTCCTCCTCCTCCTCCACCTAACCGGGTATTACCACCTACCACCTCCTCTTCTCCGATTCCTCCCACGCTCGAGACGGCAGTTTCCTGAAGCCCGTGCACCAGCATCGCGCCCATCTCCATCTCCTCGTTGCGCGATGCCTGTGGGTCATTCTGGCCGCCGCCGAAGGATGACCGCCACCACCACCCCTTGCTGCTTCCGCCGCCGCCGCCGCCGCCGTCACCGCTGCGATCGGACGCCGCGACATGGGCAAAGATGGCCATGGTGGCTTTCTCGCTCACGACGAACATACCGTCATCGACTGCGCCACCCGGGCCGACACCGCCGCTCGACGGAATCCAACCTGGGGAATACGCAGCACTCCCCAGATTCCCCTCGTTCTCTTCCACTCGATGAAGCTGAAGCGATCCCAACCGCCCATCCTCGAATTTGTACGGCCGTCCCAACTCTCTAATGACCCCGACCCTGTTATGCCTGGTCGAAGGACGTCGGCTTCCGACGGCGGCTGCGCCTTGCAAACCACCTTGGCAAGCCTGCTGCTGCTTGTCTCCCCCGTCTGGCGGCGCTTTCTTCTTGTCGCCGTCAGCAGCAGCAACCGCAGCTCCCCCCCCTCCTGTTGCGCCACTGGGATCTCGCACAACCTGAACCTTCTCAATCATACCTGTTTCCACATTGACTTTCCAGTGGCTGGCGCCTCCAGCCGGTCCCACAACCGGCATCAGGAGGAGCACCAACAGGGCAATCAAACGAAACGTAATCGTCGCTTTCCTTGCTCGATCTGACTTCGGGTCCTCCGCCGAACACCTCTTCGTCCATCCTCCCCCTCCCCCGCCCCTTCCCCATGTCGGTGACACCCCCGAAGCGCAGCTGCGGGCTCTCCGCTTTGCTCGCCCCACCCTATCCACGAGCTCCCCCCTGCCCCTGATAAAGCTTCCCGAAATCATGCCGCCGAAATTCCCTTCCTTCTCATCATCGATTCGGCAGGCAAATCCCCTAAAACAACCCCTCGTCTCCCCGCGCCGCTCAACACGGCAGCGCTAGTAAACTGGCTACATCAGTAGCCCCTCCCCTCTCCCCCGCTCTCTTCCTCTCCCGCACTGACTTCGTGAAGCAGCCTTTCCCTTCGTATGGTGCGTGCGTCTCTCTCTTCGTATGGTGTGTGCGCGTGCGTTTGCGACTGATGCGTGCGGCGATGTGTTCGTGAGTGTACCTCTGTGCCTGGGTGCTGTGTATGTCTCTGTATCTGTTTTGTGTGTGCGTGCTTGTGCGTGCGCTTTGTTTGTCGTTGTTCTCCTTGTTGTTGTTGATGTTGACGTTGTTGTCGTTGTTGTTGTTGTTGGGTCTTGAAGACAAAAAGCGATACCGGGGAAGATAGACAGGCTAGGGTATAGCTGCATACACCATGTGAAGGTGTGTGTGTGAGAGAGAGAGAGAGAGAGAGAGAGAGAGAGAGAGAGAGAGAGAGAGAATGTCAGAAACACAAAAATTGCACCGAACAATCATGAAGGACGTGCAATGGAAGAAGGGAGTCGTCACTTTCCTTGCCGAGCGACAGCCTACGTCATTCACGTTCCAGCTCTCTGTCTGACAGGCTCGTCTAATGCTCCCTCATTATGCGGACGTTCCCACGTCCACCATATCGGCGAATATGTGGGCAAATTGACACGTCGACAGCAAGAATCCTTCGCCCCTGACGGCGACTCTGTGAGAGAGAGAGAGAAAGTACACACACACGCACAGAGAGAGAGAGAGAGAGAGAGAGAGAGAGAGAGAGAGAGAGAGAGAGAGAGAGGTTGCCACGTCACGCGTTGTCCCCCATTTCCTGCGTAGCTATACCGCAGCCCCGGACTAGTTCCCCAAGTACCCGCACGTAACTTTTTCCCAGCTAATATCTGCCGTATGTTACGCTCGGCACTTGCCAACCTGCTGTTGTCGGCCTTCCTCACGGGGTCAGGGCATCGCAACAGCACTCTCGAAATGTGCAAAAAGAGAATGAACTTCCCGCTAGAACATGGCCAGATGCGGCCGCCACATTTTCGTCTTTTTCACATTTCGAGAGTGGTGTGGCGGGGCCCTTCCACTGCGCCTGCGCATTGTCCGAAGGAAATCCCGGCGGGGGAACCAGGTGGGTGGAGAAAAGCGAGAATAAAAAATAGAATATTAAATTTCAAAAATGAAAGTTGCCGCGGCCAGAGCGGGCGACATGCAGAGGGGAAAAAGTTTTCATGGCCACTTTTTGGGCGCGAAATTTCCCGTCAGAAGACACCTGAACTGCAGGCCATTCGTTCACAAACATCCATGAACCGGGCCCGTCAGGAGTCCAGGTACAGCCTGGCAGAAGCAATCTCTTAGCCCTGCGGGACAGCGGTATGACGCAATCCTGTCCTTCTTTCCTCTGAAACGAGGAGAAACGAGGAGGGAGCAGTTGGTTTTCTTTCCCATAATAGGAAAGGACTGGTTGAGAAACATTGAAAGGCAGCCGTGGAATCGATGGGCTCTAGATGATAGCGAAAAGCAGACAGGCGAAAGTCACCCTTGACGGCCGAAAACAACACCCCGCATAATGTCCAATCAGCTCACGCCTAACTATACGGTAGGCTATACTTCGACTTGAACCGTGAACTTGTCTGCGTTTGGACGATGGCGGGGTCAGTCTCTAGAAGCACGTGGGCCGTGGACTCGCCCCAACCTTTGTTCTTAGCATCGTCAAGTGGCCATAGGCCTAAGCCCACGACCCGTCCTGTAGGGGGTGCAGAAATTAAACCATTTCCCAGCATTTTTTTCAGAGTTGAGGCGTGCATGCCGCCGCAATTACCGGGAAGATACCTATTTCGATGGACATCCCTCCAGGCAAAAAAACAGGCCTTGCATGTGTGTTCCTAACGCCTGTTTTGAGTCAGAGGAAAAGAGGGGTAAAACCAGGAGGGGTAGAGGTTCAGAGGTATATATCATTCACTGCAAGGGGAACATACAAAATACATAATTGCTGACAAAACAAGAAGTAATGATAGCCTTAACAAAATTCTGACAGTGTGAATCCTTGAGTCTCACCAGAGTACTGACCAATCAAATTCCAAAGCTGAAAGAGATCTTCACAGAAAGTGGAGAAGTCCTGGGGGTACCCCCATGCACCGAGGGCACCGGCGGGCGGGCCAGGATTTTCGCGCGGTGAGTCGCGAACCGTGAAAGAAAATCTCAGCCGTTCCGTGATGCGTTGCAGGTACGGAGATCGGAGCGCCGCCGCAGAGGCGCACCAAAAGCAGAGAGGAGACAGAGGTCCAGATCCGGATCGGCCAGGAATAGAATAGCCGAGTGCCACCGGATGCCTGGCTTCGGACCTGCGGCCGCGATAGGCCTCAAAAATCCCTGCTCTTTCAGTTTGGCCAGATATCGGTCACCCCTATATGGGGTACCAGCATTAATTTCCGCTGTTGAAGACGAGGCCTCCTTAGGCCTTGAAAAGACTGCTGCGCCTGGAAATTCACAAGGGCCATCCTCATTGTTACCGGAATATCGACAGGAGCCTTTACCAGAACCGGGTCTTGCAGTGGAGCTAGATACAGGAATGATTCCTGTCACATCACTGGGTCTGTCTGCAGATCCTGATTAAGTGTCAACGTCATTCTGCCAAAGCCTTCCCGCCCCCAAAGGTCACGGCCGTTCCTAGTAAAATGGGAACTGACATTTGCATTGCGGGCAGCCAATGGGCTTCTATAATCTACGCCTTCTATTGTATAGTAGTAGTTGTCAATTTCTTTGTAGGCAACCAATTGTCAATGTCACGTAGTATCAGCTCTCAAACCCCTTTTGTAGTATATGAAGCCTGCACGTGTTTCCATCTGGACACATGTTGTTTGTTCAAATACATGTTCACAATGTTCAGGGACGCTGGGCCCGATTTCCAGTAGGTGCTGCTC